CATGTCCTGTTTTCTGGGAATGGGATTGGGAATGGGAATGTTGGGAAGGGTCTAATCCATGTCCTGTTTTCTGGGAATGGGATTGGGAATCTTGGGGGGGAGGGATTTATCCATGGATATCCTTGAGAATGGCTGGAATGGGGTCAGGAATGTTGGGAAGTGTCTGATCCATTCTCTGTTTTTTGGGAATGGGATCAGGAATGTTGGGCGGATTTATCCATGGATATCCCTGAGAAAGTCTGGAATGGGATCAGGAATATTGGGGGAGGAGGGGTCTAATCTGTGTTGTATTTTCTGGGAATGGCTGGAATGGGATCGGGAATGTTTGTGGGATCTAATCCATGTTCTGTTTTCTGGAATGGGATCAGGAATGTTGGGGGGCTTCTGATCCATGGATATCCCTGGGAATGGGATTGGGAATGTTGGGAAGGGTCTGATCCATGTTCTGTTTTCTGGGAATGGCTGGAATGGGATTGGGAATGTTGGGAGGGGTCTGATCCATGGATTTTCCTGGGAATGGCTGGAATAGGATTGGGAATATTTGTGGGATCTAATCCACATTCTGTTTTCTGGGAATGGCATTGGGAATGTTGGAGGGGGCTGGATTCAATCCATGGATTTTCCTGGGAATGGCTGGAATGGGATTGGGAATATTTAGGGATCCAATCCATGTTTTGTTTTCCTGGGAATGGCTGGAATGGGATCAGGAATGTTGGGAAGGATTTGATCCATGTCCTGTTTTTCTGGGAATGGGATCGGGAATGTTGGGAGGGGTCTGATCCATGGATTTCCCTGGGAATTGGGGAATGTTGGGAGGGGTCTGATCCATGGATTTCCGTGGGATTGGGAATGGGATCGGGAATGGGATCAGAAATGGCTGGAATGGGATCGGGAAGTTTTAGGGATCCAATCCATGCCCTAAACACTTGGGAATGCTTGGAATGGGAAGCAGGAATTTTGGGAACTCCTCCCCATTTTTTTTCCCATCATTCATCTCCTCACTGTGATTCCCATTCCAGACAGCTCCGGAATTCCAGGATCCCCATTCCAGGGAAGCCGATTCCTGCTCGCGCCTGAACCCAAGTGGGAATTCTGGAATTCCCGAATTCCCTTCCCGAGGGAGCAGTGGCTCCATCCCGACTTCCTCCGAGCTGGTGGAGAGC